TGGCAGCCAGCGTGCTGGCTTACCCACTTCAATTAGGATGGTAGCCAGCGTGCTGGCTCATACCCACAACAATTGCATCACCACATGCCGCACTGCAGACTGAACAATAACGTGTGAATCATCTGCCTCTGGTCATCCTGGTTGACGCTGAAGAAGTGGTCGTCCACAATGCCAAGGCCTCCCAAACCCCCCACCGGCGGCCAAGCGGTGACAGCCCAGCTCATCGTCGTGAGCATTTGGGCTGCTGGTAAGGGGACAATGGCAGCCAGCGTGCTGGCTTACCCACTTCAACTATGATGGCAGCCAGCGTGCTGGCTTTGCCATCTGGACAATGGCAGCCAGCGTGCTGGCTTACCCGCTTCAACTATGATGGCAGCCAGCGTGCTGGCTTTGCCATCTCAACAATGGCAGCCAGCGTGCTGGCTTACCCACTTCAATTAGGATGGTAGCCAGCGTGCTGGCTCATACCCACTGCAACTATGATGGCAGCCAGCGTGCTGGCTTTGCCATCTGGACAATGGCAGCCAGCGTGCTGGCTTACCCACTTCGACTATGATGCTAGCCAGCGCGCTGGCTTTGCCATCTCAACAATTGCATCACCACATGCCGCACTGCAGACTGAACAAGAACGTGTGAATCATCTGCCTCTGGTCATCCTGGTTGACGCTGAAGAAGTGGTCGTCAACAATGCCAAGGTTCCCTGGCATGATGGCTGGGCAAAGAGGAATAAGAAGGCTCTGGTTCATGTGCGATTGCAAAAGCTTGTGGGTTGCGTGAACCTTCTTCCAAGTATATTCGTCACTGCTGTTGAGTAGATATTTGAGTATAACCAACCACTATGCTTGTCATTGAGTAATTGACTGTCTCAGAGAAATTGACTGTCTCAGAGAAAAACGTGACAAAGTAGCGTGAAGTGACACACAGCAGGCACTGTAGATGTTTTAGCGCACTCTCGTTGTTCGGCTCGCGACTAGTCTTTGTACACAGCAAGGATAGCGTAGTGCTTCCGCAGAACGACGTCCACACAGAATTTATCAGGAAGAAGTCACGGCATGAGACACACAGTTGGTTGGGTCTAGCGCGTCCACCCGAAGCAGATCTGGATGGTGTAGGCATCTGTGAAGTTGCGGCTGTTGTTCCTAACCCAGTCTTCCCATCCACTGGACCACTGGACCAGCGTGCTGGCTCATACCCACTTTACCCACTTCAACTATGATGGCAGCCAGCGTGCTGGCTTTGCCATCTGGACAATGGCAGCCAGCGTGCTGGCTTACCCACTTCAACTATGATGGTAGCCAGCGTGCTGGCTTTGCCATCTCAACAATGGCAGCCAGCGTGCTGCCTTACCCACTTCAACTATGATGGTAGCCAGCGTGTTGGCTTTCCATCTGGACAATGGCAGCCAGCGTGCTGGCTTACCCACTTCAACTATGATGGTAGCCAGCGTGCTGGCTTTGCCATCTCAACAATGGCAGCCAGCGTGCTGGCTTACCCACTTCAACTATGATGGTAGCCAGCGTGCTGGCTTTCCATCTGGACAATGGCAGCCAGCAAGCTGGCTTCCACTGCCTGTTATCAAGGGCACGTGTTAGTTGTACTACCAAGTCGCCAGTTCTCATCTTCCAGCTCCCCAGCTACTCC